CGGCGGTGGCGGCCGGGACCGTTGGGGGCGGGGTGTGTGGCCTTATGACACACTTCCGGTGATGTCAGGGGGTGTGGCATATGCTAATGAGTTATGCTAATGAGTTCCCCTAGCTCTTTTTCTACGAAACGACCCCTGACGTGTACCAAACAAAACAGCACAGAACATAACATAAACATACACCTATAACATATAACAGATCCTTCTCCTCATGTTACCTCCTTCTTTGAACTTATAGTTTCCTATATTTTTACATATGTTTGTTATAAGTTAGCGTTGGTTTCCAACCCGTTATAAACATTTGACCATACTTTTTGAAATACTGAATTCATATTTCCGTGAAGTTTGTTGAGTTAAATTGTAGACTTTACTAGGTTTGTGCTTTTTAAAAACATGGGAAAACAGGGTGTGAAATACGGATTTTTGGGGAGCTCATACCTAATATTGTTACCTGGAAGCGTATCAAGATGACAAGATTTTAGTTTAATTGTCCCAAGAAATTCAAAGATGAAATCGAAACACTTAAAACATTTAAATCAAAATTCGAAAAGCCTGCCTGAATTTCAGATTTGCACAAAGTTTTCCATTCCCAGAGATGCACCCTTCCTGCCTCTGTTTTAGGAATGCATCTGTGAATTAATCCACTTGCAAACCGCATTCCTTGGGGGTCCTGGGAGGCTGGAGAACCCATGGCTGTTCCTTTGGTGATGGCGTGCCTTTCCCTTACTCGTCGCGGGGCGAGGGGAACCAAAATCAAACTACGTAGCAAATCTGAGAGTTTTTTGCTGAATAGATTTTCAGTGCACATCCAGCACTCTTTACCTGCACTGCCTGGTTGCTGCATGTCCTACTTCCTCCTACAAACTAGTACAAGGACTAGTTTGCACTAACTCAGCTTAGGGGGAACACTGCTGGCCTCCAGGTAAAAGAGGTCAACTCTCCGGGAGAAAATGGCTGCTTTGGAAGGCGGACTCTATGGCATTATACTCCACTGAGGTCTCTCAACTCTCCCCAGCCTCCACCCCCCAAAATCTCCAGGAATCTCACAACCCAGAGCTGACGGCCCCAGGGGGCACAAGGAGGTGGCATTTCCAGCCAGGAAGCTGCTAGCTGGCCTGTGTGCACCTCCTCCCACCAGACAAGCAGAGGGGGTGCTCTGTCTCTCTCCAAGGTACAAGTTTGCCCTTGGGGTTCTGCCCCCCCCTTTACTGCCACAGTTGGGCCAGCCTGGCTCACTCACCTTCCAGAGCAGGGTAATGGAGGCAGCAAGGAGAAAAAGGCCGGCCAGCACAGCCGCAATGATCCACCAGGCAGGGATGCTCTTCTCAGCGTCAGGATCTAGCCTCTCCACCAGCGTCTCTGCCTGGGAGGGGGGGTGGGGGAAGCAGTGAGTTTGAGACACTCCCAAGGGTCATTTCCTGCGGGAGCCCACAGGAGCGGAGCTCCGGCAGTAAAGAGCCCAGGGGGCGGGCACATGCAACAAGCCCCACCCCCTGCTCCCAGCAGCCCCGGGCCACGAGGAGCACAAGGATCTGCGGGTGTCCCCCCCCCCCACACGTGGCAATCCAAAACAGTCCAGTGGAGCCTGAGCAGCGGGTGTTGCCTTCTGACACACTTCCGGTGATACCAGGGGGTGTGACATATGCAAGCGAGTTATGCAAATGAGTTATGCTAATGAGCTCCTGCACCTCTTTTTCTACGAAATGACCCCTGGACACTCCCTTTGCAGTTATCCAGACAAAGGGCCTTCTTGGTTGTGGTGCCAAAAATTTGGCACACCCTCTTTAGGGAGACTGTTCTGTCAGCCAGTGGGTAAGGATGTCTCTGATTGTTTGTTCTGGCATATCCCCAGTACCCGTTGTTGGCCCTCCTCCCTGGTTGTGTGGTGTTTATGTGTGTCTATATGTTTTTGTTGAATTGTTTTAGGTACGTTTTACTGTAAATGTTGTTTTAAAGTTGAAATGATTCGATATGTTGATACGTGCCGCCTTGGGGACCCTGTCTGGGTGGAAAGGCAGTCCAGAAATGTTTCAAATGAAAGTCTTTTGGAGTCTGTAGAGAAATTCATCACAGCAATACAGATTTCCAGACATACCGAGATGGTCCCACTTGGTAGATTTTTCGGCTGAATTCGGTATGGCATTGCTGAGGCGCCGAACCAGGCCTGGGATTCGATGAGGAAGTGTTCCAGGGGACACTGTTATAGGAAGAAAGGAGACATTCGTCACACAAGTTTCACTAGGGCAGTGGTGGCGAACCTACGGCACGGGTGCCAGAGGTGGCACTCAGAGCCCGCTCTGTGGGCACGCGTGCCATGGCCCCAGCCAGGCCCAGACCATCATTAAAGTGTCGAATTCTCTGCCAAATAACTTTAAGTCAATGAAAGCATTTGGGATTGCTTTCCTTACTTTGTTTGGATCACCTTAAGTTAATGTATGAGTTGTTTTATCTAAAGTAAAACCTCAGTATTCAGGTTAAATTGCCGTGTTGGCACTTTGCGATAAAGAAGTGGGTTTTGGGTCTCAGTTTGGGCACTCGGTCTCTAAAAGGTTCGCCATCACTGCCCTAGGGGAAGGAAAATGCTGGCTCTGCCCCCCAGTTCACAGAAGCCTTACACACTGCAGTGGAGGGCCAGTTTTTTGATGTAACAGTTCCGTGGAAGCTCGCTGGGTAACCTTGGGCCAGTCACACACTATCAGCCTAACCTACATCAGAGGGTAGCCATGTTGGTCTGAAGCAGCATAACAAAGTTTGAGTCCGGTGGCACCTTGAAAACCAACAAAGTTTTATTCTATTCTGGGTATAAGCTTTTGTGTGCCCTGTGTGCATGCGAAAGCTTATACCCAGAATAAAAACTTTGTTGGTCTTCAAGGTGCCACTGGACTCAAACATTGTTCTACCTCACAGGGTTATTGTGCAGATAAACCGGAGGAGAGGGAAATGATGACAGCTGCTTTGGGTCCCCAACGGGGGTAAAAGCAGGATATAAATAAATAGATAACTTAATAAATAAATACCTAACTCAATGAGTATCCCCCCCAAACAGACATTCCTATAATGAGATAAGAAACCAATATCTCTGTTGAGCCCGGGGGGTTGTTGTTCCGAGTGTTGTAATAACTTGTGATTCAGCAGTTTCCCTTTTCATTCTGTTCCTGAAGTTCCTTTGCAATAAAACAGCTACCGTGGCTAGGCACTTCCTGCTGGCGGCGGAGCTGTTGTTTAAAACCCTTCCAAGCAAACACAGACCCTTCATGAAAACAGAGGCGACCTGGGAGCTCAGGTGCAACTCACACATACTTTACTCTTTCCTTCCCCTCATGGGAGGCAGCTGGAGCTCAGCTGCCCACCCTCCAAATCCCAGTGCCCCCCCCAGCCACGACTGCTCCATCTGTCCATTGCCTTTAGCACACCTTGCAGCCGGCTAGAGAGGATGAAGGATAGAGGGAATCCGGGGAGAAAGTGGGGAAGGAAGGAAGGGAAGAAGAAGAAGAAGAAGAGATTGGATTTATACCCCGCCCTTCACTACCCAAAGGTGTCTCAGAGCGGCTGACAAACTCCTTTTCCCTTCCCCTCCCCACAACAGGCACCCTGTGAAATAGGCGGGGCTGAGAGAGCTCCTGACAGAAACTGCTCTTTTTCAAGAACAGCTGTGCCAAAGTTATGGCTTGCCCAAGGTCATCCAGCCAGGTGCAAGTGGAGGAGTGGGGAATCAAACCCGGTTCTCCCAGATTAGAGTCAGCTCACTTAACCACTGCACCAAACTGGAAGAAGGAAGAAATATCAAAAGCGACAAAAGGGAAGTAGAAAAGGCAGGAGAGGTGAATGCAAAGCAGGAGGGACTGCCGGACTGCTGTTTGCTCACGGCAAAGTTACAAGAACCATGCCAGGACCCCCAGTGCCCAAGCATCACTGCAGGAGGGCACTGCTTATGGTACACACCTCCAGGGCTCTTTTTGTAGAAAAAGCCCAGCAGGAACTCATTAGCATAATAGGCCACACCCAACAGCAAAACCAATTAGCATATTGGGCCACACCCCCTGACATCACAGCTCATTAGCATATTAGGCCGCACCCCCGTGTTGCCAGAAGTGTGGTCATCCAGCCACACCCACCTTTTGCTTCTTATTCTCTTTACCTTGTCTGTTGTCAAAACCCAGGGCCTTTTTTGTAGCAGGGACTCCTTTGCATGTTAGGCCAGACACCCCTAATGTAGCCAGTCCTAATGAGCTTCTGCTGTTGGGTGTGGCCTATTGTGCTAATGAGTTCCTGCTGGACGTGGCCAACTCGGGAGCCAGCCGGAACTCCGTTCCTGTGCTTTCCTGCCCCAAAATAGCCCTGCACCTAGCAAAGGAGGGAAGTAGATGGATCCCTGGTCTCTCCGCCCCCCCCCTTACCTCTTGGAAACTCTGCAGCCACAGCACGGCATGGATGGTGACAGAAGCTCCCTGCCCTTTCTCCAGCACCCCCACATGGCAGAGGATGGCGGCACAAGCCTGACTGCTACAGTTCTGCAGGAAGATCAGGTTTCCATCTATTAGAATTCAATGTAAGCTCACTGGATTGATTAAAAAAAGATCAGGGGAGGTGCACTCCCATGTGTACTTTCTCGTAAATAATTTCATAAATTAATACTAAATAGATAGGCTCTCCCTTTCCAGCTCTGTCACGAAGGAAGTCTGGGTCTTTAAGCATTTTATCATGGGCACAGCTAAAAATTTCGATGTTCATCTCACTCATGGTTGGAACCAGGGGTCATTTCCTGGAAAAAGAGGTGCATGCGATCATTTGCGTAACTCATTTGCATATGCCACGCCCCCTGACAAAGGGGCAGGCATGTTTAAAATGAGTTAAGGCATATGCAAATGAGTTTAAATCCCCCCCTCCCTGAGTCTCTCCGCAAAAGTTGAGAGTCTCGGGGGAAAGGCAGGCATGCCTGCCCGCCTCCCCTTCCCCTTCCCCTCTCCAGCCAACCCGCCACAGTGGGCTGGCTAGAACCGGGAAGGGCAGGGAACCCAGGCATTTAAATCCCACCTCTCTGAGTCTCTCCACGGACGGGGAGTGGGGCCTGGGCTCCTTACTGCCAGAGCGCTGCTCTGGGGCGCTCCGGCAGGAAATGACCCCTGGTTGGAACAATTCCACAAGAAGGGTTACCCGTCTTATTTACAAACTGAAGAAGGGATTTTAAATCAACAAGGCGATCCTATCCCCTATTATTCCAGTTCAAGCCCAATTAAGCCAGTAGGCCAGGACTGGAGAAACGGCATAGAACTGAACTGTAGATCTAATACCTGTTGGATGGACTACAACAGTGGTGGCGAACCTATGGCACGGGTGCCAGAGGTGGCACTCAGAGCCCTCTTTGTGGGCACGCGTGCCATCGCCCCAGCCAGGCCCAGACCATCATTAAAGTGTCGAATCCTCTGCCAAATAATTTTAAGTCAATGAAAGCATTTGGGATTGCTTTCCTTACTTTGTTTGGATCATCTTAAGTTAATGTATGAGTTGTTTTTTCTAAAGTAAAACCTCAGTATTCAGGTTAAATTGCCGTGTTGGCACTTTGTGATAAATAAGTGGGTTTTGGGTCGCAGTTTGGGCACTCGGTCTCTAAAAGGTTCGCCATCACTGATCTACAATATCACATATGATATGTAAATGAGTATTAATATGTAGAGGAAGGAAAGCAAAAAGGGAAAAATCTTTGAAAAAGAATAGTGTAATGTTCTATAGCACTGATTAATATGAAAAATTTCAAAAACTGTCTTTAAAACTTGCAGACTTCGGTTAATTCAAACCTTGTTATATTTTATTGCTTACAACTTGATTAAATACTGTTATATATTTAATGTTTATGTACTGAAAAAAAATTAAGGAAGCAGAATGTTATATATCTTGTTTGTAATATATTGCTTCATGCCAATAAAAAATTTAAATTAAAAAAAAAAAGTTTGCTGGATTCCCCCAAAAGTCTCACCACCAAAACAGGTCCCTGCAGCGCTGCTGGGTCAGCCTCTGCGGTCACATCACGCTTCTCGCGCCCTCTTTGTGGCTGGAAAGTCCCGTTGTAGCTGGGGATGGCCGTGGGCTCCAGCACCTCTAGCTACAATGAAAGGACAAAGCTCAGGTGAAATATAGTTTGCTGCATCTTCAGAGGACTGGCCCAATTTCCCAGCTAAAAAAATAAAAATAAAATTAGGATAAGAGTCACAAAGGGTTTGTCTATCAGATGCTGCCACAGAACCTCCATGTCTAGGGATGGTACATCACTTAATTTCAGTTCTGGAGGGCAATGGTGAGGGCGGGCTTTGGCCTTGATGGCCTGCCGGAGGGTTTCCTGGAGGCACCAAGTTGGCCGCTGTGGGGAAAACACTAGGGGAATTACAGACAGGCGATAGATTCCGGAAGGGAACCGGTTCTCAAACGGGTTCTGGTCTGTCATTTCAGACAAAACCCGTTTGAGAACCGGTTGTTTGAGAACCGGTTCCCTTCCGGAATCTATTTGCCATTTCATACACAACCGCTTCAGTCCCGTTTAGGAACCGGGACTGAAGCGTTTTACCTGTCATCCACTTCCAAGTGGTCTCCAGTGCCCTCTCCCGGTTCCGATACGCTTTTTTCCCGCCTTTTTTCGCCCGCGTGGGCGATCTCCGGCTGTTCCCCCCCCCAACGTTCGATTTATAGCGCTATAACGCTATAACGGTACAACAGAATAGCATTATATCAATCCCATTGGAATGCATGGAGTGTTTTGTTATACTGCTATAGCGCTATAAATCGAAGGTTTTTTTAAAAAAATCGATCACCCGCGTGGGAGGAAAACGGCGGGAAAACAAAGCGGTGCAAGTCTGAAATGCCAAACCGCTTCTGATCTGGCTCATTTCCGGTAGGGGCAAGTCCTGTGTGAAATGACAGCCCTGTACCGGTTCACTTCAAAACGGATGATTGCCGGCTTGAAACCGGGTGAAACTGGGTAATGTGAAATTCCCCACTAATCTTGGAACACTGGCACTGGTGGCCTGTCTGTTTCTGAGCTCGGTTCAAGGGGCCAGTTTTAACTTTTCAAGCCTTACCAAGCCCATGCCCCAGGTATCGCAAGGACTGCCAGCCCATTGACCAGCCTGTCCCCCCCCGTCCGAATGGGTCCCACCAGGGGGCTTGGTCGCCACCTTTTCGGCCAGCTTTGTAAATGGCTTTGTCCGGTCTTTCATCTAAATCCATCAGCCAGTTGCGTACTGCTCAGGCTGAGTGGTTCGCTGGTTTTACAATGCCAGTTTGCATATTTGGGGGATCTAAAAGTCTGGGGGTGGCATGCATGCGTGGCAGGCGCTCATTCAGCCCCGAGTATTAGCAGGAGCTGGGACTCGCTTGGAGCGCGCTAATTGCCAGCAGGCTTATGGGCTATTTAACCCACGCCCTCATGCCAACAAATCGTGCCAGCAACTAGTCTCTTCGGACGAAAGCTCTGCACCTCCTCGCTCGTGATCCCAACTCCTGGTTCCTGTCTGGATTTCTTCGGCTCCTTGACCTCGGTTTGAACGACCACGCTTCGACTCTGCACCCCGAACTTTTGACTCTCTGGCTCTTGACTCTTTTGGACTCTGGTTTCCTGACGACTCTAATAGTTTGAGCGTTGAACTTGGTTTCTTGGTTGGTTTGCTTGCCTGGCTCTTGACTTTGGACTATACCTTGACCACCCCGCTCTTGTTTTGTGTATTGGACTTGGTTTCCGGCTAACTTGCGTGACTGGCTCTTGACCTCGGACTGTATCCTGACTACCTCGCCCCTGCCTAGCCCCGCATACACCTAACTTACCTGCCAGGGCTGTTGTGAAGAAAACACAGAGGAGGGGAGAAGGCAGTTTTAAGCTGCTCTGGGCGCCCATTTGGGAGAAAAGCAGACCATACATTTCCAAATAAACCAGTAAGAAACAGGATGCTGGTCTGGACTGTCCTTGGGCCCGATTCAACTGAGCCAGTCTTACCTTCAGGGGGTTGGTCTCGTTGGAAGGAAAGCAGCTGATGCTGCCTTCCGTGGTCACCTTTGTGATGTAGAGTAGGAAGTTTCCCCGGAAACGATTGGGAAAGTTCACGAGAAGTTCAGCCCTGGAAACAGAACTCGGACCATCATTCTGCAACTGGAGTGGATGATTGAAAAGAAAAATGGGTCAGCGAGCAGGGAAATAGGAGTGGTGAGCTGGGGACGTGTCCCCACCCATTATCCTCAATCCCAACCGCAGCTCCTCTTGTACCCGATAAATGTGCTCCACTTGGGGCCCATAGTCAGCCACTTTCTTGCTCTCGTGTTTGGGGTACTCAGTGACCAGTGGGAGCAGGACGCTGGCTGGGGCAGAGCTCCTAGGGGAAAGCAGAAAGAAAGTGGTCATCCAAGGTTCCCCTCTCCCTCTTGCCTTGGCACACGGCTTTCTCTCTCTGGTGCCCCAACCTTCTCTCCAGCACCTGCTCTTCCCAGTGCCCACAAGCAGCTCTTCCGCGTTCGCATTCGTGTTGCTTGTGTGTCCCTATTGCTTAGGGGGATGCGTTCGTCTCCCTCTAGTGGTCAGTTCAATATTACATCTCTGTGCATCTGGCACATTTCCCTGCACTTTAAATCAGTAGGTTTTTTTGCCGGACATACAGTGATGTGATATTGAGTCTGGAGTATACATTGCTCATAGATTGCCTCTCCCCTTCCAGCTCTGTCACTAAGGAAGTCTGGGTTTTCAAGCAACTTATCATGGGTACAGCTAAAGATTTCGATGTTCATCTCATTCATTGTTGGGACAATTCTGCAAGATGGGTCACCCGTCTGATTTACAAAATGGACAAGGGGCAAAACACTTGCAGAAATGACACACACCCCCTCCCCGAAGCAACAGGGACACACAAGTGAAGAAAGGGAGAATGCAGAAAAGCCCAAGGCCACCTTTACAGTGGCCTCGTCTTTATTCACTGACAGAACCATGAGGAAGAATGTCTCACAGATCACAGGCTGCATGTGCACCTTTTGGGGCTGTATGGTCACACGTTTTCCCCATGAAAACACCAGCTGTGCACATGGGAAAGCAACATGCCCAGGAAGGAGGCTCCAGCCGAACGTTTCTCATGGCTTCCTCTCTCTGGTGCCCCCCGGTTCCTCACTCACCCCCGAAGCGTCATCCTAGCCTCGACCTCGACTGGCACATGGAGCAGCTTCTCGTCGCTGTTCGGGTTGTCTCTGTTCCTGCTGCAGAAAACATTGGAAGTGAAGCCAGGGAGGCTTCTTGGCTGGCCGGCCGCCGGCCATTCGGAGTCCCGGCGCTGGAGTGCGGGAATCCTGGCAGAGGAGCCGCCCGGAGGGCTGTGGTGGTGGAGCTGGCCACACCAGATGGTCTCTGCTGTTGCGCACAGGAATCCCGCCAGGAAAGGGGCTCGCGTATAGGGGACCGCTTCTCCTCAGGTTTCATAAATATCCCCTCCCCATCATGGTGGCCTGGCTCCAAGGCACAGCAGTCCTGATTCCTGAGATTTCACGGTGTGACTTCCCTGCACTGCTCACAGAAGTGAGATCCAGTCTCTTGGATTGGATCCAGGGGACTCTAGCAGTAGACCGGAGCTGACCCTTACCTCCTGAGCTGCATCCTGAAAGTGACATTGTCACCTGCCTCCTCCAGCTGACTGACACTTATTTCCATGTCCACCTGGATCTGTAGGCGGGGGCGGGAAGGAAGGACAGAAAGAGAAGTGGGAGGAGGCCCAGAGTACAGAAGCAGAGGAGTATGTCCGACAGGGGCCTGGCTGCCAGCAACTTGGGGCAATCTCTGGGAGCCAACATTTGGTACTCTGCTGAGTGATGGCAGGGCATTTCCTGCATCCCTTGGCCAGAGCTCGATGAGGACAGCATCATATAATGAAGGAAAAGGTAAAGGTTCCCTTGCTCGAAAGCCAGTTGAATCCGACTCTAGGGTTGCGGTGCTCATCTCCGTTTGCAAGCCGAAGAGCCAGCGCTGTCCGAAGACGTTTCCGTGGTCATGTGGCCGGCATGACTAAACACCAAGGCGCACGGAACACTGTTCCCTTCCCACCGAAGTGGTACCTATTTATCTACTTGCAATTTCTTGCTTTCGAACTGCTAGGTTGGCAGGAGCTGGAACTAGAGACGGGAGCTCACTCCATCATGCGGCAACTCGGGTCTTGAACTGCTGAACTACCAACCTTCCACAGCCTGCAGTTCAGTGTCTGGACACATTTTATTTCATCAACATGTACATATGGGGAAGAAGAAAAAATGCCAACTAAAGTGTGACATGTAAGATCCTGTTTCCAGGGTCAGATCTTGGGTCTCCAAAATACAAAAGGCAGCAATGCCAAGAGGCCCTTGGGGAGGGCTGGCCTGCACCTCACTTTCAGAGGCTTCACAGGTTCGCAAGCTACTTTGTGGTTATAGCTGACCTGAAAATGCAGCCCCCTCCTGCCCCCGGTAGTCACATTGAGCTGGCTCATTCCAGCCTCCCCAGCTCTGCCCATTCCCAGCCAGACCTGAGGTTCCTCTGACCCACCATTCCTCTCTCCCCCACTCCCCAGACCTTGTCCTGGTGCCTTTTGGTGCTGGCTGCCCAGGACCATCTCGCTTCTCTGCATGGCACAGCGCAGAGGAAACCCCCCCCCCCAATTTAGTTAGAGCATCTAATCACAGTTATCCTCCTTCCACAAAGAAGAGTGGGATACACGGGGCAAATATTGGGGGTGGGGAGAGAGTGGGAAAGGAGAAAGAATGGTTGTAGGGAGGGTCGCATGCAGAGAATGTTAAAGGAAAATTAAATCCCATTCTAGGATCAGTTCTGAAGCCTGGATGACAATGCCCCTGAGCATGGGCAGAGTGCCCTCTGCTCATTGCTGAATAACCACAGCTAGCCCTCCGTCCAAACCTGGCACAGGGCTCAAGGACCAGAGGACAATGTGTGGCTTCCGGGAGAATGTGAGCTTACCTCCGTGTGGGATTTCATAGGGTTGCCTATTTCACAAGCCACCAGGTGGGTCTCATTTTCCTTGCGGGAATTGCAAATCAGCTTCTGCAGGCAAGACAGTGAGTGTGTTGGGGGGGGAGGTCAGTGCTGGTGGACGGCGGAACGAAAGCACAAGGCATTGATAGTGGGGGGGCCCCCCCTACCAGAGTAGCGAATGCCAAACTTGCTCCTGGACGTCTTATACAGATGTTCATACCCCCACCAGAGCTACACCACAAGGCACTTCTGGCCACAGCTGTACAATCTGTGTCTTTTCTGAAACCACGGCACGCAGGGCTCTTTTTGTAGAAAAAGCCCAGCACGAACTCATTAGCAGGCCACACCCAACAGCAGGAACTCATGAGCCTATTGGGCCACACCCCTGACAGCACAGCTCATTAGCACATTAGGCCACACACCCCTGTTACCAGAAGTGTGGTTATCCAGCCACACCCACCTTTTGCTCCTTATTCTGTTTACCTTGTTTGTGGTCCAAACCCAGGGCCTTTTTTTGTAGCAGGAACTCCTTTGCATGTTAGGCCACACACCCCTCATGTAGCCAGTCCTAATGAGTTCCTGCTGTTGGGTGTGGCCTGTTATGCTAATGAGTTCCTGCTGGGCGTGGCCAACTCGGGAGCCAGCCGGAACTCCGTTCCTGTGCGTTCCTGACCAAAAATAGCACTGCACGGCAGTATTCAGTGGACACGGCACAGGCCAAACCATTGCCAGGACAGTGCAGTTTGGATCCCGAGGCTCTTTGCCAGCTGATTAGGATAAAGGCTGTCATGTTTCCGGATTCTGAATCAGAGACCAAAAGAACAAGGAGCGCGCAGCGCTCATCTTCTTTTTATAAGAGGACTGCATCCAAGCCAGTTTAGGATGCATCTGTCTACATTTTGATAGGTTTGTGTGGGTTGTAGAACTTTAACACTGGTTGTTGAATCAGGTGGTTCTTTGTGCTGCATTCCCAGCACCAATGCTCCCTCTAAGCTGTGGAGTCTTGTGAGCAAAAATCCTACTTTGCAAGCTACTGGCTTTAAAGTAGTGAGCGAGCCATTTGACTACTGCATAAATTACTTTGCTCTGGAGCCATCCTTCCTGAGCTAAGATAAAAATGTGTGAGCTGGAGGCTAAAAAACTGTGAGCTAGCTCACACTAACTCAGCTTAGAGGGAACACTGCCCAGCACCCCTCATTTTTTTGTCCCAAAAGTCTCTGAAGAGGTGCAGCCATTGTAGACAGATGAGGGATGAAATTTCCCAGGGAATTCACCATCTCCAAGAACTGCTGAACATCTTCCTCGGACTGTGGAGTGGCATCATGCCTGTCGCTAGGACCTTCTCTTTATCTCGTTTCCAAATGCATTGCACTGTGCAGGACTGTGGGGAAATCCACAGTTTTTACAGGCTTGTCTCTTTTGCAGGTGTCCCCCGGAAACCACTTGTGAGGCGGGAACGTCTGCTTTTGAAGCTGAACTTCCCGCACCCCGGACCTGCACCCCCTGAAATCAAACTTCTGCCTTTTGCCTTCGCTGTTTCTGAAGCTCTGAGAATCTGAAGAGCTTTATCCTAGGACAGGTCCTTCTCCCATAGGAGCTTCTCTCTAACTGCGTTGTTATCCCTGATACCACAAATAATCCTGTCCCGTATCAAAGACTCCTTATTTATTTATTACATTTGTATACCGTCCTCCCCCTTGTCAGCTATGCTGCCATGAAGGTTGGGGAGTTTGGTCTGTATCTGGTTCATTGCTATTGCTTTCCTTTCAGGTTAATTGCTCCTGCATTCCTTTCTGTGCTTCCTCTGCTGTGCGCCGAAACGCTTATCTATACAGATGTGCAGGAGGGTGTTGTGGTGTCTGGGTTTTCCCTAGGTGTCGTGGGAGAGTGTTCGTTCTCAGCTTCAGCTACCTAACGGTCTCTAAGCTTTATCCCGCGCGCGGGAGGGTGCCTAATTGGCCAGTGCTGAGGGGGGGGGTGCATACGAATACCCTATATCCTATTATGCCCATGGGCCCGCCGCCATTCTTAACAGTGCCTATGTTACTGCATCTATAGCTCTGCAATAAAAGTTCCTGAATGCGTGTACTTCGTTGTTGGCTGTGGGTTCTGACACCCCTAAAGACTCAGGGTGGTTAACAAACAGCTCATAAATACAATTCTAATAAATAAGATGCACAGAATAAAGTTGAAAAACAATAAAACAGAAATAACTAGTTAGATGTCGTTCAATATTCCATATCCCTCTTGTTGGCAAACCATTGCATGCATATGAAAGACCTGATCCGTCCAAAAGATTAATTATTTTTAGGCATGCAATATTCTTCAGACTTATCTATTATCTTAGGTTTCACATGTTCACCTTCTGCAAAGCTAAGGGTATATAAATGTCTCAAGCCTCCTGTCCTATAGAATGCAGGAAAAGGGACGACCAGACCTTATCGGGTTTTTCATTGGCTCCAATAGCGGCCAAAGTTCAACCTGCTGTCTTAACTGTTTTCCCAACTGTTTTCCAGAGAGCTGCAGACCTGATGGTGGTTGCGGCATATCTGTGCTGAATATCGGGTTGCCAGGTCCTTACCTTCTACTGGCGGAGGGCTCCAGCCTGCTCTCTGGGGTCTTCTCCAGGCGTGCGCTGCAATGACGTCACCCGGAAGTGATGTCATCACACTGGGCATGTCGTGACGGGGACACTCTAGCGTTTGGTTAAAAACTCAGTGGTCACCACAGAGTTTTTCGCCAAATGCTAGAGTGTCCCCGGCGTGATGACGTTACCTCTGGGTGACGTCATCGCGCCGGACACATCAGGCATGTGGGGCTCATTGGGGGCAGGGCTCCTCCTGCTGGCCAGCTGGCCGGTGGCGGATTGGGGCCCCCGAAATTGGGGAAAACCCCTCCCATCAGGGTGATGGCAACCCTAGGTGAAGAAGGGCTACTTACGGAGGATATCTCACTCACCGCAGGTGGGGCTTGCGCAGCTCCTGGTTCACCAAATACGTCGCAGTCAAAGCCGGCACACTCCTCATTCCCTGCCTCTGACACCACGTAACGTTTCTGGGTTCCAAAATAGAGACCAATAGAACAAGGAGTAGTGCAAACAGTTTTCATCTAAGGCACAGCTCCAAGAGGTTTATGCAAGCACTCTCTACTAGCTGAACTGCCTACTCGAAGGTTTTGCTTTAGGGAAGATCTTCAAATTAACATACTAGGCTAACAGAACGAAGTTTGGGTCCGGTGGCATCTTTAAAACCAAGAAAGTTTAATTCTACGTATAAGCTTTTGTGCGCGCGCACACTTTGTGAGAGCCAGTTTGGTGCAGAGGTTAAGAGCAGCAGACTCTAATCTAATCTGGGAGAACCGGGTTTGATTCCCCACTCCTCCTCCACATGCAGCCAACTGGGTGACCTTGGGTCAGTCACAGTTCTCTCAAAGCTGTTCTCTCAAGAGCAGTTCTCTCAGCTCCACCTACCTACCACACAGGGTGTCTGCTCTGGAGAGAGGAAGGGAAGGAGATTGTAAGCCATTCTGAGACTCCAAGTGATGGGTGGGGTATAATACTTCTTCTTCTTCTTCTTCACTGGTCTTAAAGGTGCCCCTGGACTCGAACTCTGTTCTGTTGCTTCAGACCGAAACGGCAGCCCACCTGAATCCAGGGCTATTTGGGGGCAGGAACGCACAGGAATGGAGTTCCGGCTGGCTCCCAAGTTGGCCATGCCCAGCAGGAACTCATTAGCATAATAGGCCACACCCAACAGCAGAAACTCATTAGGATTGGCTACATTAGGGGTGTGTGGCCTAACATGCAAAGGGGTTCCTGCTACAAAAAAAGCCCTGGGTTTGGACAACAGACAAGGTAAACAGAATAAGAAGCAAAAGGTGGGTGTGGCTGGATGACCACACCTCTGGTAACATGGGGGTGCGGCCTAATGTGCTAATGAGCTGTGCTGTCAGGGTGTGGCCTAATAAGCTAAGGAGTTTCTGCTGTTGGGTGTGGCCTGTTATGCTAATGAGTTCCTGCTGGGGGTTTTCTACAAAAAGAGCCCTGCCTGAATCTTCTGCACTAGACTAATATAAGGGAATAAGGGAATATCTTGAAATTTCCAGATCTAGCACAATAAAGGCTGCCAAGCTTGAGCTGCCCGACAAGGGGGCAGAGTCCCGTGTGTGCAAGAAAACGGTCCAGGTCTGCCTTAAAGGACAGCAGCACTCCACGCAGACACATCTCACAGAAAGCAGACAACTGCATAGAGGAAGCGATCGGCCCAGTTTTTCCCGGCTCAGTTCCGCTCTGCAGCAGGAACCTCAGGCGAGCTGTGTCAAGACCTCTCGATGAATGCTGGGGCTCTCCTTACCCGTGAGATGCTGTGAGCCGTCTGAAAGTACGCTCCCCTCGGCAGCTCCACTACCAGCTCGGCCTCGTAGGCCCCTTCGCCGGCATTCACCGCTTTTGCGTGGATGAGGACCACGTTCTCTGCCCCGATAAGGAGGGGTCTGTCTGTCCTAACACACAACCATAAAAGACAAGGACGGAGCGCCTGAGTTAACAAGAGTGCCTCCGGCCACGCAGCCCAAATGGGGAAAAGTCAGCAACTACCAAACACCATCAGTGATGCCTCCGGACCATCGCCAAAGCTGCGGTACTCTGCAGGAGTTGGCACAGGGACACGCTCTCTCCTGCTCAATGGCACCGATAGGAGCCACGGGAGTGACATCCCCTCCCTTGGGTTGTATGAATAAATGGGGAAGGAGGCACACCGGCTGCCACTCTGCATGCTTACCGTTACACAGAATATTAAACCATTACAGAGTCAAAAAAAGCCACTCATGATGGATGGCCTTCATCTCCCTTACGATCAACTTCCAGCACAAAACCGCCGGGACCTGGTTCAAAACAGCTGCCCGGCCACACCCACACAGCTGCTGAGTGTTCAACAAATCTGCATTTATGTTAGCTGGAAAGGTCTGAGTGCTTGTCTTAACGTCAAACAACAGGATGTGATTTTCCAGTTCAAGGCCCAGCCTTGGGGAATGGGAGGGAAAGTGCATCTGAGTATGTCCAGAGTGCCTGGCCTTCACAGTCCACAGTAACCCCCTGGCAGATGCCCATTGGTTCCCTCTTAGTTTCTGGGGTTTGGGTTGGGTTTTTTAAAGCTATTTTTAAATGGTGATGGCTTTGGAGCTTAGCAGAAGGTCACTTCTGGATTCTTTTTTGGGGTTGTTTGTTGTTTGTTTGTGTTGCACTGTTATGACTACATATCAGTTGCTGCTGGGTATTGTTTTAAAGAC